AGCAACAACCCTAACTTTAAGCTGTGGAGTATTTTACTGATTCTACTGTTGCTCAGGCTGATACATGCCTAAGCAGACCACTGAAAATAGCATTGGATGGACCTAACCTCTCTTTCTGTTTACCAGGAGCCAAATACTGCCTTTTTTAATTCCTTAAGCAGTGCACTTAGTGCCATCGGGGTATTAGGAGTATCGGGACTGAACTGTGGCCTTCCATGCCTTGATTAATGTTCCCCCAGGATTAACATGCATTTAGCAATACTTGGTGTGGGCTCTTCTTTGTTTCAATTTAAAACAAAGCCATTGAGGGACATATATTAACACCTTTTAAAATCTGTAAGGTATTTACTGCTTGAACTGATAGGCAAAAAGAAAGCTAGAAAACATTTGCTGCTTGAATCCCCTTGAAGGGGAGGAAACAGTAGGTAGCTAGGTAGCAGGGTAAAAAGCCTAAGGAAATTTTCAGAAACAATTTTCAAACCTCTTTTGTTCAGGGTCCCACCTGAAATCTTACTCTGGAGTTACTAAGTGAAAACTTGGTTTGTTATATCCACCGTGGTGGTTCTAACTGTGGAAAGAACAGGCACATATGGCTTGTTCTTTTTAAATGAATTTTAATTTCAAGAAGATGAGGTCCTGACTGGTTCCTCCCACGGGAACTCCTCTCCAGGATCAACTTGGCAAGAGAGTGAGGTGCTCCATTCTCAAATGAGTAGCATTAACTTTTGGGTTTTATTAGGTCATTCTCATTTTCTAGCTAAGCTCACTAATCAGAAAATTAATGGCTTAAGCTATTTAATTCAACATGGCAGTTAAAGCCCCTTGAGGACTTTATTCCAATGATTCCAGTGAGGAAAATATGGATTTCTTCTGAATGACTGCTTGTACCCTACATTTTACCATTAAACAAAGGGTATAATTGCTGTTTTGTCATTACTGTCCTCAGTTGGGGTTAGAGTGAGTAGAGGTGGTATTGGTTATTAGATAGATATCTGCTATCTGATATTGATATTAGATAGATATCTGATATCTGAAATATCAGATTAATTTCATCATTTGATACATACTATTTGGTTTCATTTGTTTAGTTTGCATATATTTTCTTGGGGTTTGTCTTTTCTTTATTCAATTAGCAAATAATACAAAATTGCAAGCATATGTGGTCTGCATGTTTCCTACCCAAACAAAATGATCAGATGAGAGGGAAAAGGGAAATTTTACACTGTACTAGTGGAGGGGAGAGGAGAGATCCCCAGGCTCTAGAAGTGAAAGCTGCGTCAGCAGGAGCCAAGCCAACTTAATTAGCCCCATGAAGAGACTGAACAGAGTGCTTGGTTAATGCAGCTATATTATGTTTGAGAATTCATCTGTTGTCTCTGGACTTTGCTGAACTGCGCAAACATCCATCTCTCTGCAGCACTGCACCTTGCACGCAAGTGGGAGCAGGTTTTGCACCCATCTGAGGTTCCAGAGGCTGCTGATCTCATACAATGCAGCGACTAAGGTGACCAAAAGTACACAGTGAAACATACAGTCCTGCTCCTGGCCCTAGTGTTCCCTTAGCAGGGTCGGAGAACAGCAGGCAGAGACAGCTGGAGCCTCTCTGCCCTCACAGCCTTGCTGTGAGCTAAGAGGCGATCAAAGCACACGCTGTAGCTAGAGGTGACCCACCCTCGCAGAGCATCCTCAGGTATTGGCATAAAACAGCCAGATCCTAGTCCTCTGTGGACTCATGCAGCAGCAGCATTTAATCCTGGAGCAGCAAGCCAAGCAGAGCTTCCCAACTGGTGGGCAAGGAAGTCGCTCACCACCCTCCAGCAAGCAGCCAGAGCTCCCTAAGCACCAGGCAGGGAGCTGCCTGCGGGAGGAGCGCGGCAACTCATGCAGCACTAAAGCTTATTCCAGGCTGCCACCTTGTCAGGCTTAAGTTCGGCTCATTAGGACATTTGTCTGTTACTTATGCAAATAAGACTATGCGTAGTCACAAAATATGCAAAGAAGGCCATTTATCAGTTTGGCACGGCCTCCAGTTTTCTGAACCCTCAGACACCCCTGATAGATGTAGAAGAAAATGCAGTCTCCCCTACCGCCGTGGCTGGCGGAGCGGCCGAGGCAGAGCCTATCCGCCACCGTCCACGTCCTCTCAGAGGATTCGCGTTGCTCAGGATAGAGGAGAGAATGCACTCTGTGCGACTTTCAACCTGTTATGTTACAGCTCAGGGTGTTTAATCTTATGAATAAGGGATCTCTACTTGTTTCACCTTTCCAGGGAAGGAGATTTACGAATCTGCATAAGTCTAAGCGTTCTGACTGCAGTTTATTATTTATTTATAACAAGCACATGACAAAGACTGTCCTCTGGAACAGCCTGCTTAAATGCATTTCTTCGTCTGGACAGCTGCAGTCTAAGGTCACTCTCACTCATGAATGTGGAAAGGAACCTCAGCTCATCCCTCTCCCATGCTTATTGCTCTCTGCCCACTTCAGGAAAACACTATCTTCTGCACGAGTCTAGTCTAGAGTCAGCATCTACCTATTGCTTTCCACACACAGCCATCAGTAACTGCAGGAAGCCTGAGTCCTCCTGACAAGGGTACGGGTCTGCCAGAAACGCAACTTCAGGGAGTTCTTCCCCAGTGACGTATCCCAGGACGGTGCCAGGCTGACAGCTTGCCTGTTAGCTCCAGGGACCAGTTTTTCGTGTATCCTCCCTAGCCTAACCGGATGGCTTATCTAAGCTGCTGCAAGGTTCACTGTACAAACTAGCAGAAAAGAAGTTTCCATAGTACAAGTAAAGAGAGAAGAAAATGACACAGCTTTTTGCTGTATTACCCTTACCTGAGGGGACCCACCTTACCCATTCACTTTTCCTAACTGTTCCCAGGACCTATCACAGAATCACAGAATCACTTCAAGATCATCAAGTCCAATCATTAATCCAGTGCCACCATGTTCCCTAAACCATGTCCTGAAGTGCCACATCCACATGTTTTTTGAACACTTCCAGAGATGGCGACTCCACCACCTCCCTGGACAGCCTGTTCCAATGCCTGCCCACTCTCTCAGTGAAGAAATTTTTCCTAATATCCAGTCTAACCCTCCCCTGGCACAACTTGAGGCCATTTCCTCTTGTCCTATCACTAGTCACTCGGGAGAAGAGGCCAACACCCTCGTCGCCACAACCCCCTTTCAGGTAGTTGTAGAGCGCGATAAGGTCTCTTCTCAGCCTCCTCTTCTCCAGACTGAACAACCCCAGTTCCCTCAGCCGCTCCTCATAAGACTTGTGCTCCAGACCCCTCACCAGCTTCGTTGCCCTTCTCTGGACACACTCCAGCACCTCAACATCCTTCTTGTAGTGAGGGGCCCAAAACTGAACACACTATTCAAGATGAGGCCTCACCAGTGCCGAGTACAGGGGCACAATCACTTCCCTACTCCTGCTGGCCACACTAGTTCTGATACAGACAAGGACACTGTTGGCCTTCTTGGCCACCTGGGCACACTGCCAGCTCATATTCAGCCGGCTATGGGGAGCTGTGGACCTGCATGTGGTCGTGGAATTAGCACTGAGGGGAGGAACACCTCCAGCAGGCAAGAAGAGGTACTCACAAAGGTTCCCCTTCCACAGTGGCTACAACCGGATCTTAATTTGATAATAACACAAAAAATAACTTTCCTTGAACCTCCCAAAATATAATTCCATGGGTTACATTGCATTTAAAGTGCAGCACAATCACAATACAGTGGTCTGAAAGTATTTCCAATGTTTTTCCTTCTTCCCCTGTAGGGAATTTGTATTTGCATGTGAGAGCAACTGCAACCTAAGTTAGATAGGTCCTGGAGAAACTCTCTCATCACAGTCCATCAAGGTGTCTTTCTTTGATCCTTTCAACACATGCACCCACCCAGATACTCACTCCACCCTGACATCAGGATTATGATCTCATCAGGAGAAAGAATGATAACAGCAAAAGCGGAGAACTCATGGGTGGAGATAAAGACAGTTAAATAAGTGAAGGAAAGAGATAAAAAAACCCAGCAATGTAAGGGCAGTCACTCACCACCTCCCACAAGCAGACTGATGTCCAGCCAGTCTCTCAGCTACGGCTACCTTCCCAGACCAACCACTCCCTCAGTTTTTATTGCTGAGCATGGCATTACATGTCATGGAAGGTCCCTTTGGTCAGCTGGGGTCAGCTGTCCCATCTGTGTTCCCTCCCAACCTCTTGCCCACCCCCAGCCTCCTTGCTGGTGTGGGGCAGGCCACCTGGGAAAAAGAGAAGGCCTTGACACCGTGGGTGCACTGCTGTACAACAGCCAAAACACCGGTGTGTTATCAATGTTGTTTTAGTCAGAAATCCAAAACACAGTGTCTTACTGGCTGCTGTGAAGTAAATTAACTACATCATCTCAGCCAGACCCAACACAGAAATTAATGAAAAATTGCATTGCCTTTGCTTAAAAGGCAATGAAGAAAATTGTCCTAGAAGGGGCATTTCTTTCTTAACATCAAGTGTTATTCTAAAATGGCTGCCCTTTTAATTCCAAATCTATTTGCCACTTGGGTAAGTGCAAAATCATGCAGTTAAAAATAGCTATACAACTGAACTTTCTGTGAATTTAATTCTGCTGTTTCCAGCTGAGCAAAATTATCTTTACATCACAAAAGCATATGTTTCCCCTTAATAAAGACTTAAGTACAGCCTCTTCAAGTCTTTCTCTTCACTTTTGCATTGATGCAGTAAAGGATTATCCATGCAAAATTATACGGCCAAGCTTTCTGCTGTGAGTCGGCATGGTTCCATTGTTTTTCATGGATCAGTTAACACACACTGGAGATTTTAGCCATTGTTGTCTATAATGGCTAATTTGCCTGTTACAGGGAACTGAGAGCCATCTGTGTACATGCCATAAGGATACACCAGTGAAATGGAGGCTGTAAACCAACAGAACATGACCTATGATTGTAAGAGATTCAAAGACAAGATGGGATACCTTACCTTTGGAGCCTGTAGTACATCAGACATGCCATGCTTAGGGACTGCAAAAACCTGTTTTGGTGAAAGTGTCGTTGGCTTTTTGGGAGGCCTGGGTGGTGGATGAAGGGTTTGGTTTTCATATCTTCGCACCATATAGTACTGCTCTTCGCTGATCTCTTCCACTGTTGTCTTAGTCACAGGAGGTACAACTGTCTGGATATCTTTGCTGAGCAAATGGACTGACATGTTTAAGCGATATACAGGAATCTCCCAGCTCTCCACTGGACTGCTGGTGCCACTGATCAGCAAATAAGAGTCTGTGATTTCTTCTTCAAACTGCAGCCCAGGCACAGCAGCCAAGACATCTTCCTCAACAGAAAGGTCCCTCACAGACACTTTGACATTAAAAGGCAAACGAAATTCTTTGCAAATCTCAGAAAGCTGGTACTGTTTCTTGTCATGAATCACTTCCACAAAGCCACCTTCCATGTACATAGGGAGGAGCACTTTCTTATATGTATCACTTAGTATTTGTTCACAAGCTAAAACGTCTATGACTTTCTTTCTTCCCTCATACAGAACTTCACTAGTCTGGCATTGCTGAACTAGAAATTGATCTCCAACAGAAACAGAAAAAAGCTCTCTATGAGGGGAATCAAAGGCTTTAGTTGCTACAACATGAAGCTGTTCCTTTTCACTTCTTGCTATCTCTAAGTCATAGGCAGTTGGAAATTCTCGAGGTCTTCTCTTGAACTTTCCTTTGTAGCTCATAGGGATTAAAAAATGTCTTTTGGGAGAATCACTTCTGATCTCAGAGGCTAAGACTCTTGTTGCCTGGTACTTTTTGTAGATGATGATCTCTTTCCCTGTATGCAATAAGTTATAAGGTTTTTGGCTTCCTGAAGGTCCTTCCATTATCTCAGCAACCATAGGAAATTCCTTGCTTGTTCTCTCAAATACATCTTCCAAAGACAGTGGCTGAAGGAAAGAGTTAATATCGGAACAGTCTGTTATATCCTTGACCTCAACATCTAGATCTGAGAGGATATGAACTATGTCCTTTCGAACTGAAAAGAAAAAGAAATACATTGGTTTTTGTTTTTAAACTGACATTGGAATAAAATATACATGTCCTGTTGGCCACATACTAAAAGTAACTTCCCTGAGGTGTGCACCTTCATATGTTAACATGCACAATTAATAGGGCCAAAGTTTAACTGTTTTTATTTGAGATATATGGCTATCAGATATGCAGGAGACCTCACAAAGGAAGAGCGAAACAAGAGGAGATGAGAATAAGGTGTGTAAGTGAACAAAAGTTTAAGAAAAAGGAAAGGGGAAAAATATAGTTCACTATCTTTCACAGCACCTCCAAGTTTAATCAGTTGTTTATCTTATCAAACTTTTTTTCTTGAGTATTTCTATTCTTTTATTGCATAGTAAATGATTTCTCCAAAGAAATGGGTAGGGGAACATAGAATCATAGAATCATAGAACAGTTTGGGTCAGAACAGACCTTTAAAGGTCATCTAGTCCAACCCCCCTGCAGTGAGCAGGGACATCTGCAACTGGATCAGGTTGCTCAGAGACCCGTCCAGCCTGACCTGGAATGTTTCCAGGGACGGGGCATCTACCACCTCTCTGGGCAACCTGGGCCAGTGTTTCACCACTCTCACTATGAAAACTTTCTTCCTTCTATCTAGTCAAAATCTGTCCTCTTTTCGTTTAAAACCATCACCCCTTGTCTTATTGCTACAGGGCCTTGTCCCTCTCCAGATTTCTTTAAGTACTGAAAGTACTGCAATAAGGTCTCCCTGGGGCCCTCTCTTCTCCAGGCTGAGCAACCCCAACTCTCTCAGCCTGTCCTCATAAAGAGGTGTTCCATCCCTCTGGTCATTTTTGTGGCCCTACTCTGGACCCTGGTCCAACAGGTCCATGTCTTTCCTGTGCTGAGGGCTCCAGAGCTGGATGCAGTATTCCAGGTAGGGTCTCAGCAGAATGGAGTAAAGGGGCAGAATCACCTCCCTTGACTTGCTGGCCACACTTCTTTGGATGCAGCCCAGGATATGGTTGGCATTCTGGGCCCATGCCCAGCTTTTCATCCACCAGTACCCCCAAGTCCTTCTCAGCAGGGCTGCTCTCATCCCCTTCATCCCCCAGCCTGTACTGATACCAAGGGTTGCCCCGACCCAGGTGCAGGACCCTGCACTTGGCCTTGTTGAACCTCATGATGTTCACATTCCTTGAGCTTGTCCAGGTCCTTATGGATGGTATCCCATCCCTCAGGCATGTCAACGGCACCACTCAGCTTGGTGTCTTCTGCAAATTTGCTGAGGGTGCGCTCAATCCCACTGCCTGTGTCATTGATGAAGATATTAAACAGTACTGGTGCCAACACAGACCCCTCATATACCACTCATCACCAATCTCCATCTGGACATTGAGCCATTGACCACTAAATTAACATCTTTAATGGATAAATAGCATCTGAACCCATTAACACATGTTGCTGTGTCAAGTCTGGAATGAACAAGATATTTTGATATTTATAAGAATAATGAAAACATCTATAATTATTAGGAAATAATATAACTTTGAAAAGAAGGAAAAATCTATGTATAACAAACTTTAAGTTTATTGTTAATGAATGAAGAAATCTCTAGTATAGTGGTCCTCTGTGGAACTCTTGGATCTTTTTCTGTGGCATCTGGTTTTATTCACTATCAGAACTGAGCCATTGTGTTTAACAGTCTGACAGGAACGACAACTCTTTTATCCCAACTGAACTTGCAAAATTTTGGATGCAAGACTTCCAAGCACAAAGCTGACTATGCAATTAAGGCTTGTTTAAGAATTTGGCTCCAGATCAGTGACACCACAGATCACTGACCAGGGCAGTAAAATTTAACAAGCAAATAATATTTAATGACTCTCTTCAGTAAGACTTATTTTGCATAGACCTGCACACAAGGATAGTATATCCTGGATTCACACTCCTTTGCAGCAGAACGTACCAATATTTTATACCTAAAATTTGGTATCAGATGTATTTTATACGATAGTTTTATGATCGTGATTCAGGATCTGTTTATTCCAACTCTGCTTTTCTCACATTGACACCTTCATGTGAGAAGCATCCTAAGCACCACAAGGGAAAGTCAATGAAGGAGGAATGACTAGTGAAAATGAAATTTTTCTATGAGCATTTTGGGGAGTTCCACACACAGAATTTGTCCATTATTAAAAAATAGAAGTATAGAGAATTCCTGCCCACAGCCTGTGAAAGTGTAATCTGTTATTCCTCTTATCAGGAATCTTTTATATTGAAATATGGATAATATTTCTTATACTTTATCTTGTGTCTATTTATAGTTCTTCTAAAAATGGAGAAAATCCTTTTTTCATGGTCCACTAGAAAGTAGCTAATCATGTACCATGAAGCTTTCTTTTCAAGTTTGTATTACATAGTTATTTAGGACATATTTAATGCTTCTTAAATGTTGAGCACACTATGAAACATAAATGGGTGAAAGAAAATCAATAAATACAACTCTAATTGGAATATCTGATTGGAAGACAAGTGAATACCCAACGTTTCTGAATCTTCTGAAAGCTTTTTAGAAACATTAAATTCTTATTGATTCTGCACATATATTTAAGTGGCTATAGGAATACACCTAAGTGAATCCAGGAGATTCAGGAGGTGGGCTAGATTCCTGAATCTAGCTAGAGTTGTAGAAAACAAAGTACTTTATCTTGTGAAGATATACTTTCCAAACTCACACATTAAATCACATAGCAAGCACAGCTGAATGTCTCATGGATAAGCATTTAACAACTGTAGGTTCCCCGCGGAGGTGGTAGATGCCCCGTCCCTGGAAACATTCCAGGTCAGGCTGGACGGGGCTCTGAGCAACCTGATCTAGTTGCAGATGTCCCTGCTCACTGCAGGGGGTTGTGGACTACATGGCCTTTAAAAGTCCCTTCCAACACAAACCGTTCTATGATTCTACAGCATATTGTGCTAACAGTATCTTTCCACTTTTTTCCTTTCTCTTTTATCCATTTACTTACATCATTGATCAGAGAAAGCTCGATTGTGAAAAGATTTCCAGCTTAATATTCTCATGAATTACATATTTCTGTGAGGATTTCATTTCTATGGAGCTCACTGGTTTGCTCCTAGTAAACACAACAGGCAGCAAAACCTTCACAAAAGCTAAACTCCTATCCTGCAAACTTTAACAGGATGGGTGCATCAACATGTAGAATTGCAGCAATTTTCCATCTACTGCCTGGGCTGTCCTCAAGCAAGGTCAAACAGAGTCGCAGAACCACAGAATCATTAAGGTTGGAAAAGACCTTTAAGATCATCAAGTCCAACCATCAACCCAACATCACCATGCCCACTAAACCATGTCCTGAAGTGCCTCGTCTACACGTTTTTCGGACACTTCCAGTGAAACATTTTGTCTTAAGCTGTTTTTTTGTTTAGGTAGGTATCTCAGTTCAGAGAAGGTACGCTATGCACGCACAAAGAGGTCATTACTGCAGCTTGGCTATTCAAGTCACCATAATTCAGGAGCATTTCACTGTGTACTTATACCCTTGCACACCTTCTAATTTTATTCCAGTGACTAATTTCACTACAGATTTAAAGTAAGGCATAGATATAGACATTAGTAAGAACAGAACCCAGCAGTTTTAATTTTTTGGTGGAACAGCTGGAACAGTGATAACGTGCTATGAACAAAATAATTTTGTTTTTTAATAAAAACTCATAACATAAATTACAGCTTTTAAAGATACTGGTTTTCTAATATATTCCTGTTTCCTCAAACCTAGAGGTTTCAGAAATTGTCCATAAGTCTTTTCTATTTATATTCTATTGATATTTGTTTCTGTAATAGAGTAAAATAGTATGTTTTACATTCTGCAGCATCCTCATTTTGAAAAATAAATGGTAGTTGAGTGTGTTACAACACATACATCTATATTTTTCCTCTACCCCCTAGCCATAGCCATAAATGATCAAGTGGCTTCTCCATGGTGGAAGTATGACACACAAAGAAAGAAAAGTTGAAACTGAACAGAATACCTAAGCTCCACTTTTTCACTATGCAATGTATTTCTTTGCAATGATGATTTAATTGTAGTGATCAATAAAATGGCAACAGAAAGAAATACAAGGTAACTATCTGAATTAACAGCTGATAAAGGAATAAAAAAGGCAATATTTTTATCTTTCTTCATCTTGAAACTAATATCAGTGGCAAATATGGGTCAGGAATTTTTGACCAAACTGAATCCTTCCTGCCTATTTTAAGGAAACTTTATATATTGAAGGATATTTTGCTATATAGAGATGAACAGAACATTGACTTTGATTCCTACTTACATTTCATTACTGCCTGCACTTCATAGACAGGCGTGAGAATCAAGCAGCCATCAAAATTCTCAGGAAGTAGGCTAGAGGAGTCCCACGTATGTAAAGTATTGGAAAGTTTGACAATCCGTTTTCTGCTCTTAGGGATTTTCCATTCTGCAATCTCTTTTAGGGTGTATATCTGGTCATCTTCACACTCGTAGAATTTTCCTTCTTGTGAAAGGGGCAAAGTAAATGAATGAGACTGGTTATTTCTGACCACACCACAGTTCACAGCCATCGTTCCATTGACCTCTTCCACAGAGTTGAAGGTGATCTGCTCACCATGTTTGATAGTGAGGTTTGCCAATTTTATATCCTCAGGGCTGTAGAAACATGGATGGCCAAATCTTGTTGGCCCAATAGAGACTTTTCGTGTAATTTCTTCAATGCTGCCATATGGAGTTTTATCTGCCACAACCTTATAAAGACCTAAGAACAGAAAACTTGCGTTATAAGAAGGGAAATATATAAAGGAAGATATTACTAATTTTAGACCATGAATGCAATAAAAATGGGGAGGAAAACACATCAAACAATTCATACCTGATAGTTTGGTTGCTAGAAATGTGACTCTATAAAGGTAATATCAACTACACAATAGAAATCATAGACGGCTGGAATTAGCCCTTTCTACTCTGCAGCTGATTTCTGACATCCAGCATTCTTACGTCCATGGTAAAAAGAGAAAAAAGTTATTTTCTTTGCTACAGAAAAAAAAAAAGAAAAAACATCTTAAATTTTTATCTGTCTTCTCAGGAAATCAACCTTTAAGAAAAAAAATGGAGACATGGTATGAGGAGGAGCAACAGTGAAATTTCATCAGTGAAATGCAGGATAAAGTTTCTGGCTAAACATTGTACTATGCATTCTTATACACACAGACTGGGGATTCCTAGACCAAGGATGTTTAAAGACACATCACAAATGAAAAAGTAGCACCTACAGATAAGAATGAGCAAAGGAAATTGATGTTAGCGTATCTGATAACCCAGAGCACCAGATGGAGTAATTCAAAGTTTGGATGTTGTAGCAATGTGGCCATCACAAGGCAATTAAAGCGCTGAAGTTCTGCAAGGCAGAAGCTGCATCTCAGCTTCCCTATCCCCTAGGGACATTATTATCTCATGTTAATCATGCCCCTTGGAGCTGTCTCATTAAGAGTCCACATGGCAAGAAAAATGTGTGCATTTCTATATTTGCGTGAGTGTCTTTATAGAGGAAGATGAAGTGGAAGGTTGAGAGGACTAAACAGTGGGGTTTAGCTGAACTGTGTGATTCAGCTGTCTTCTTCCCCAGGCGCCACAGTGTGAATGTTGCCTTGTGGAATTACATTGCAGCTTCCTGGGACAGGCATTGACTAAGGCTGGCTTCCGAGTGAATATAACTGAACATAGAGGTTATTCTTAGGCCAAGTTTGCAAGCCAAGGGGACTCACACAAGTTAGCTGGTGGCTACAGTTACAATGACAAAGCAGCCAAGCTCCCTGATCACTGGTGCCTTTTCTCCTTCCTTCTCCCAAAGCCAACTAGCAGAAACCCAATGGACCCACTGCTCCACACTATTGCCTCCCCTGGACCACACAAGGGGCACAGTATCTTTGTGGTAGAGGAATACTCCCACCCTGGCATGGGATGGGGACTCAAGGAGTGCTCCTTGGCACCACTAGAGACTTTCATGGCAGCTCCACATCTCATTAGTGGTTTCTGCCATGTCTACAAAGGTTTAAGTGTCCCATCCACCTGCCTCCAGCTGTCTAGTGTGGGAGCTGGGTCCACACTGGATATTACTCTCTTCTTGTGGGAACTAGAGTATGAGAAAAGGGAAGGATGCCCCAGCAGATACCAGGGTCTCAGCAAGGTGGGATGCTGCCAGAACACAGTTCCTGTTAGATGTTGGGAAGACACTCACTGCCTTCTCTAGATCTCCTCTGATAGTGGGATTGTTTAACAAATCAGATCAGGGGATTGCTTCAGTTAAAAATAATGTCCAAATTGCTTATTTTCTCCCACACCTTTTCCCTTACTAAGTTTCACCCACTGGCCACAATCAACACAACTGAGGGACCTGCATGGAAGCAGGGGCTCCTTAAGATTGTGTTCTTTAACATCAAACCATTCCCTCCACCACAACAGCCTTTCCCCCCGCCCCAGAATTGCTGTGATTCTTGCTTCACCCACTACTTTCACATCATAGCTTTAACACCCTTCTTGTTGAAGGAGATATTATTAAGATTATGTTCTGTTATTATTATTATTATTATAATTATTATTATTATTATTCAGATTCAAGTCTGTTGAATAGCTTTTAACTGAATTTGTCACCAGATTGGGCATGTTTGGTTCTAGGTATCCCATGAGACCACTAGGAACTGTGGGAACTAACAGCTCTGCTTGTCAGCAGCCTAAGCAGTAATAGCCTGGTTGATCTACTGCAGAAATAGTCACTAGTTGTGCCTACTTCACTGCTTTGTGCAATTCTATGCCTTCATGGTTGTCTGTATGACAGTTAGCTTTTCCTGTGTAAAATTAGTACCCTTGTGCAAATACACACTCTACATATGTGTCCTCACTGCAGCACTACAGAAAAACCTCCAAGCTTTTTTTCCAGGCTGCAAGGAAGCCCCATCCATGAATGTAGCTGCACAAGTACAAAGAACAACTTCAACACACTGTTTTATCTCTTTCTGATATTTTTTATATTTCTCACATGTTTTTAACACAATTATTTTAACAATTTTAACAATTACTAACAAGCAAGTTAGCTACCCCAGTCCTAATCACTACTGGAGGTGTCAGTGCAGATCAAGACAAACTGGTTTATCAGCATTTAGAAAATATCGCAGTAACAAGGCACCATTGATAAGCTGAAATTGTGGAAAAGACAGCATCCCCCAAACAGTGTTCTGGTGTCATGCTTTGCAAGCACAAGATGGGCATCATATCCTGGCACTGCCGGGAGAAAGCAAGTAGAAATAGTCTTCATAAAAAATATATTTAAAATATATATGATGTATCCCAAAGGCAATAACTATATTTACCCATCTGTGATACAGGAACACGTCTATTGCCCCCAGAAAACCTCCAGAATTGCATTAAAAAACCTTCATAAGCTATGTTAAAAAAACATTCCCAGTTGAAATATTTGGCAACGGACAGGTATGAGAAACATTCTTCTCTATGAGTTTGACCACAGACTCAGGCTCTACTAAATTTGCTGGGACTACGAAGCTATTTGTAAGCCATCTATTTCAGCCACAAACTCATGGGCATCCTGTGTTGGAAAGCAGGTTTCGTATGGAAGCATAGTTATCAGATCTCATACAAAACTAGACAACTGATTAGCCCCTTGGGCCCAGGCAGACTGACTTTGTCAGGGTTGGGAGCAGAAAAATATTCACCTCCCATTCTGCTGGTTTTCTTAATTTTGGCAACGGAATGCTTACATAGGTAACTAAAGAGCCATGTGGCCTTGCATACTTAGTTTCTGTATTGATGAGACCCATGAAGTAGAGGCACCTAGTAGCCACCTGTTTATGCTTATGAGTATGTAAAGTCCCATGTGTTTCTCTCTCTATAGAAAAGAGGTGAACATAAAAAAAGTTATTTTGGTATGATGGGTGAAAGCCACTGTGGTTCCTATCTAAGTGCCATGGTATTTTCTCATAAATGCTCTCCTTGCTACAATATGTATTTAAAAAAAAACAGAACACATAAACCAATCACTGTCTGAAACCATTCAGAGCCTTATTAAAATTATTATGAATCAAATTACAAACCTAAATGTTTTCCAGACATAAGTTAGCAAGGAAATCTCCAAAGTAGGAGACATATGGTAAGTTTGAGATGCTAAAGTTTGGACATTTTGAGGTCAAACAAAAAAAAATTTGTAGTTTTTCATAAATCATAAAATGACTGAATCAAACTCACTTAGACTTTCCTAAGAGAGCTTGGTGGACTACCAGGGGGGAAGACAGATGGAAATAGGAAACGTGGAAAAAAGTCCAGCTGGTTGGCTGAGAGCTGGCATTATTGCTCCTATTGATCTACTTTCTAAATGTGATCTGGTCTTCAACCAAAGTGCACTGATGCCCAATAGTTTTGGGACAAATTAAAGATAGGGACAAGAATAACTACACATACGTAATAACTACAGGAACGTATAACCTTTGTCACACTCCACCAATCCTCTGCACCCAGCAGCATTTCACTAGGGTGAAGTGCCTGCCTAGCCAAAATACGATGATTAGTAAGCCCCAAACATAATCAGCCCATCATTTTCAAAAAAAGTTTTAGACATCGATGTACACATTTATAGAGAGAGAGGGTTTGGGAATCTGAAAAAATTATTTTCACTGGTATGGGAGAGAAAACATAGACCAAGGATCACCCATTTAGTCCTGTGGGAAAGCATGTTTTGATAGAAGGATGTTTTTACCACCTTTTTACAGAACAGTATATGCAGCTGTCTTTTACTGGTTATAAAGTGTACCTCCCTTAGAGTCCTGAAGGAAAGGAATATCCTTTTTAGTCTCTCTTTTTCTTGTTTTCCCCACAGAAAACTGAGAAAACCTGTAGTTCGGCTCACCTAGTAGAGCAGCAAGTAACCTTCAAGGAAAAAAATAGCAGAAAGACTTTCTGTCCCAGACTAGCAGTTTCTGTTCCCCAAGGTAATCAGAAGACTGGGAAGAGCTCCGTTCCCAACCCCTCTGGAGCCGACTTGATTGCTGTTCCTCTTTTCCCTCACCTCCACCACCCACTCTGCTACCTCCTCTGCTCCAGCATCATGCTCTCCCCACCCTGCCCCTAAGGCCATCTCCTATCTCTCCGTCCTCCCCTGCCGAGACGCGCCTTCCAGCGCCTAACCCCTGTTCTTCCACGCGCGTGCTGCGAGGCCACAGGGAACGCTCCTGCCCCGTGGCTCACAGAGGCTGAGAGCTCAAGAGGACGGTTGTGCTCGTCTCCATGTCTGTCCGGCCACGCCGGAACGAGCAGCCGCAACTGCCAGGGACCTCCTGACAACAGGGACAGCCCTGCAATATTTTTGCAGAAGCAGGAATATAACGGGAGAAAATGAAATCATTTGTGCTGGCACATAGTTCAGGAGTCGTGCCAATTACCTGTCTGTCTTTGCTAACTTGTGAGTAGTGAAAACCGTGGTTCAAGATGCTGTTAGATGTAGCCATTGAAGTGTCTAGAGTAACAGCAGACTTCTTTTTTTACCCAATGTATGAGCATAGAAAGAATAGCCTGGCCCTCTGAGGCGTGAAAAAGAACAAATTAGAATGAGGATAAAATGAAATAACACAGATAGTGAACTTGCGGTTGCAGCGGTTTCTCTAATGCAAAGGGCAGATTAGGCCTTTATCAAGGATCTGATTTGCCAGAGCAGAAAAAAGGAATTCTGTAGACTGCAAATACGTTCAGAAAGACAAAGCATAAGGCTGTTTAAAGCCGATGAGCCCAGTCCTTCACTCACAGAGACGCTGTCCCCAGAGTAACCCAAACAGAAGCGTTGCTTATTTATGCCAGCATGCGCACGCTGAAAGGGTACGTGAGCCCATCGCATGCGAATGATAACTCGCGACAGAGGAAGTGGAAAACAACATCAAAGCAAAAGATTTCTTTGCATCAACACTGGCAAGAGAGCACTGTACGTAAAATGTAAATACAGTGCCAGACTCCTAGAGACCTGAGAATATTTTTATTGAAGTAAGTCAATGGCAAGTGTGAAAAAGATCATCTGCAGTTCGGTTCTGTGCTGTGTTCTAGAGACAGGGGCAAGCCAGCAATGCTCTAATACAGTGCTTCGTTCAGAGCTTAGCTTGTGTATGTAACGAAGGGAAAAGGAAAAAAGTCAAGAAAAGCAGAGACGGGGACATCTTGACTTTGTAAAGCAGAATCATTCTTCAGCTAAGAATCAAATTAGACAAATGACAAATTTACATCTTACCAAAAAGCTCTTGAATGCGTAAGAGTACATATACAGAGAGAAACAAGAGAGCGGTGCTCCCTGTTGGGCTAATAAGAAGTGTCATTATAGCCCTCTTCAGTGCTGCTGTTCAGCAATACCTGTCATGTGGAGGATAATAATGATAAATTTCAGCAAAATGAACTCTGAATTTATTTTTCTAGTGAAATAACCCAGTTTTCTAGAACACTGGTTCGGAAACTTCATAAGTATGCATGGAAAACGTAGTGATTAGACCAAATTTGAAAATGTGCTCAATAGGGCAAGAACATCCAAATGCCAAGTTGTAAGATTGATCACTTGAATGCAAACACATCCAGATTGACCAGGTTCAAGCATTTGAAATCACAAGTCATTCTGTTCTAAAAATCAGGAGATCCAACATTAATAAATGTAGGATTACTTTCATCACTCAGTTGCGTTGGATATTTTAGGACTCAAACATTCAAAGCCATCTGCCAATCAAGGTTTAGAATATGGCTTCCTATATTTATATATATTTTAAAAATAGAAGAAATTTTAATAATAGCAAAGAAGCTTGGATTTCAAGAAAAATAGCAAGTATCTTGAGAGTTCACAGTACGGCAGTACTTCAATATCTCTAGATAGTCACACATAATCAAAATGTCTTTGCTCACTACATTTGGGCCCTACTAGTGCTTGAAAATGGCATTCCAAAAAAGTCTTTTAATAAGTGGTCATTTAAATGGTTCTGATTCACTGAGTAAGAAAAACATGAAAGTAAATTGAGGATCTACTGGGGAAAAGAAAATTATATGTAGGACTATTTCAGAGAGAGATCTGTATTTTGGAGATGGAAAATGAAGGCATGGCAGAAGATATTTTCCTGTGGAATTCAGATGAAACACTGCATTCTCATGCACTTTTACATTTTATTTGCTTCAAAAGTATGCCTTGTCTCCCTCTGCAGAAAAAGCACATACCAGTTTGGGCACTGGCGTAACCTAAACCATATATACGCACGTGCACTCCTTCTCACGTGCACAGCAATACATTAGAAGAACATCAGTGAGGTTACCAAGTGAAACACTCAAACACTAGAAAGCACCCATATTATGTTTCCCTGTGCAGCGCCGATTTAACCCCCCATGCGCTTGCAGTACAATACAGGGGTAATTCAGTGTTTACATTCTGTTTTTTTCCCTACGAAATGGTAGTCCCTTTCAGTGCATCAGCTAGGCTGCTGGCCAAAGTGAGACCTGGACGTCATCTCAGGCTCTCGAGGGCTGCTGCGTCCTTGTGTGTGCTCTGTCCCAGTGTTTCCTGCCTGCAGGTGCCCTGTAACTTCTCTCCCAGACCTACACAGACCACTGGCCTGCCTTCTCCTCCCGTTTTCCAGCCCTCTCATCTCCTCTCCCCAAGGGGCTCCCACCACCTCTGCCGCCCGCAGGACTCCCAGTGTAGGAAATGCCCTACACGCATATACGTCTGTGCCTGGGTGCAGACCTCCTCCGACGCTGGTAGCCACCTCCACCGCTGTCTCCAGCCCCGGAACTTTGCCTGCCAAGTCTTCATCCTCCTGTTTTGCTCTAAGGTCCAATCTTTTTCTATCAATCAGTCTCCTAACCTTGTCTGGCTCCTCCACTTGCCACAGGTGGCTACTAGCAGCCCAGCACTTCTCCCTCTGCACTCCAATCGCTTCCCTGTTTAACACAGCTGGGCCCTAACAGTGGAGGGAATCAGGTGAAAGCAGAATTGAAAAATGAATAAATATGACATGTGATGAACTAGGTACCCTGAGTACAGCACTTGGCCAGCTCTCCCTAACGAGGCCACATGAACGGAGAAGATAGGTTTCAAATAACGAGTCAGTACCACGTGCCGGATTTCAAGCCCATGCTCCAAAATATGTATAGATCAGTTGAAGTGTTTTTTAAGCAGAAAAACACATCCCTTTTCCTCTAATCCTGTTTCCAGCATGGACCAGTCACTTTGGTCACTGGAATTAAAATAAATGATTAAACTAAACCCAAAACATAACAAAGTATTCAAAATATTTTATATACAAAATATATATATA